TGGCCAGAACGACCATTGTGGACACTGTTCATACTTAGGGATGCTAACAAGGCACAATCCCTCTGGGCCAGCGGTAATCCTATTGTTCTTTCAGGGTTCCTGTGTACAAAGATGTGTGCTCTGGCCTTGTTCTTACTAGCAAAGGACTGAGAGAAATTAAATGTAAGATAGAGGCAGAGTTTTCCATTCTTGTCAGTATTTGTTAAACTCCATAGGAACCCAGTTGCTTACACAGCATTTATATTGTATTAAGTGTTATGAATAATCTAAAGATGGTTTAAAGTTTATGAGAGGCTGTGCATAAGTTGAGTTAAAATAATTGTTTATAAGGGAAATTCCACTATTTGACATAAAGGACTTGAACATCCTTAGGTTTTGCTATTCAGGGGTCATGGAACTGATCCTCTGTGGATATTGAGGAATGGCTATGCCTTCCAGTATATAAGAATTTTTTTTCCTCATGTACATGTCATTCATTCATTACTGTTCTGTGAGGGCTTGAATGACATTATAGATGAGTTCACAAAAAAGGGATTAAAACATTTTTTGCTGCAAAAATGTTTTGAGATCCAGGCTTAGTTCTTTTCATAATATAAACTTTCCATGAATTTTTTTTTTGAGGACACATACATTCTCTTTGCAGTACGGAGAAGAAAAATTTATTTTTATAGGAAGTAGTAAAAAATGAGAAACTAAGCTAAAAATGTTAACAGCAGAAGCTGAGTTACATGACGGATGAATATAGACCTTAAAGGTAGAAAAAGGATGTAGAGTGGCCATTTTTGTTCCTCTTTGGGAACTCATTCCTGTCCTCTCCCAACCCCCATCTTGGGTGATTGTCCTGATTAAATCCGAGTGACTGAGCAAAGTCCTGTCCTTGCCAACAGGGTGTAGTTGGAGAGGAAGGGGAGCAGTGCTCCAGGCTTAGAGCCACCATGTATCACAATGATACCCTCCCAAGATCTTTTGACTCACTTCCAGAGACAGACAAGAGGCCAGTGTTCAACCCAGACAGTTTATTAGGGGCTTCTGCCTGGGCACAAGGGTGCAGCAGGGCAGAGAGGTTCCATGCCTGGCTTCCTGGTGAGAGGTGAACAGGGGTTTTATGCTGCTGAGGTTGTGTGATCATGCCCCTTTGTTGTGTCTGGCCCATTCGCCTCAGGACACACAGTACTTTGATTTGCACCTGACTTGGTGTTCTACGCAGGTGAAGTTGTGTGTGTGTGTTTTTTTTTTCCTTTTGTCACATCTTACACTCAAAATTATTGTTTTGCTCACTACTGCTTCCCAGGAAGTTCAAATATTGGTCATTTTGGGCTATTCTGGGCAAGCACACAGGTTGGGGACGTCTCTAACAGGGAAGCTGTGTTGTGGACACTCCCTGCTCGATTGGTTTAGAGCTGGATTTAGTAGCCTGTGATTGGAGACGTACCTCTGTTCCAGTCAGGAGGTGCATACACAATCAAGTTGGGAGGTCCTTTATTTCTGTCCTGCCTCATTAACAGATAAGAATAAATCTAGGAGATCATTTGTTTTTGTCGTTGTTATGCATAAAGGTACAGTCCTAAAACCTAAAAGAATACATTTCTTCCCTTCATTTTAGGATATTTTAAAAGCACAAGAACTTAACCAAAGCCAATCCTAATGGTCATGTTTTGAGAAAAAGATCTATAGTCCATGGAGAATTGGCTTATACTGAAAAAAAAATTCATAAACAGAATGAGTCAGTGCTTGTGGTGCTGGGGTCAGTGACTTGGCTGATGGCCTGACAATGCGTAGACTGGCAGTAATTACTCCCATCTGGCAATCTAATAATCAAACCCGCAACATGAAATACATGTTTTATCTACCCTCATAGTAGTATGAGATTGAAGTAATGATGACTGATTCCACACATATAAACTACATCAGGAGACAGTTGGTTTAGGACCAAAAGGAAAAATGTGTGGAATTCTCTTTATTTCCCCCAGGAAGATTCCATGAGTCCTCTGTTTATATGTAGAATTGGCACTGCTGTTCCTAATTTACTGCCTCCCAGGAAGAAACATAGTCGCTAGAATCTACTAAAAAGTATTGATGCTAAAAATCTGTGGAAACTAGAAGATACAATGGGTTTTGGTGTCACCAAACTAAAAATGAACTCTGCTATCTCTGCTATCATGGTTTCTGTTGAAAGGCAACTTTCTGGTCACAATTGTTATTTTCAATCCTTGATTATCTACTGATTGTAAGAAATAAGGCCCGTTTCTCTTCAATTTTAGGAATTAAAAAGAGTTATCAGGACTGACCTAACTATAGACGCTTTAATTTGCCATTGTTAATCCTTAGAGGAAAGGGTGACAGAACATTTCTCAAATGTCAGATTATTTTAGAGCCACAAAGGTTTTCCAACATGAAAGTCCTAGAATCTCAGCAACAATCAACTGCATATGGTTAACTTGTATTCTTCTTTGAATTTGCTTGCTTTTAAGTCCAGAATAAAATCAATAAAGACAGAATTTATGTAGATGTTGGGGAAATGTTGTGAGAATGAAAAATGGTTTTGAAGTTTTTGCCATGAATAACTCAAAATGATACAACTGTGTTTGAGCAGAGACTTAAGGTGGGGCTGGTTGGAAGATATCATGAGCATCATTTTGGATCCCACTGGGGGTGCCAAGCAGTTGGATATACAGGATTCTCTTAAGGTGTCTGACACCGTTCGTTGACTTTAGCTGCTATCACCAACTCCTATGCAGAACGCAGTCTATGTAAGAACAGGCATTTTTTTCTGTATTGAGCACTTCTGTTTCTTCAATATTAAAGAATGCCTGGTGCATAGTAGATGCTCCACAGCATTTACTGGAAAGGGTGTGGGAATTTGGTCCAGTGGTTAAGATGACCGCATCTCACATTCAAGTGTCTGGGTCAGTTCCGGGCTTCTGACTCCAGCTTCCTGGTAAGGCCGACTCTGGGAGACAGCAGGTGGTGGCTCATCTGGCTTCCTGTCATCCATGTGGGAGACCCTGACTGAGTTCTGGGTTCTTGGCTTTGATTGGAGCCAATGTAGGCATTTAAGGAATGAGCATGGGATAGGAGCTTTTTCTGCCTCTCAAATATCATTTGAAATTACTACTAGAAAGTTGGAGGGAATGAATGGGAGAATGAGGTACTCTACAACAAAGCAGGCTGAAAATCCTGTTAAGTGTCTTTTAGAAAGCTAAGCTTACTTACTTGGCTAATTCTAAGGAGAGAGTTGTAATAGATAGTTTTAACAAACATTTTCTAGGAAAAGATTTGCAAAATGAAGAGACATTTTTGAGGCTTCTGTAAACTTTTATTTTACATCATCTACGGGCCACTGCCAACTCAGGGCCTTGGCTTTTGGCTCATTTCTACAAAGTTACTTGTTTCAAAGATCTTATAAAGTTAGAAATTGGAAATATATATATTTTTAAACCAGTAAACCATGTTTATTAACCAGTCCATAAACAATGTACATCAAAGCTTGTGTAGATATTCAGAAATCTGTGACTTTCTGGGTTTATAAAACAGTTTTTATATGCAAGAAAATGAAGCATCTTAAAAAATAATTGCATAAACAAAGTGGTGAGAGCCTATGGCTTATACTATAGGCATATGTCACTGCATGTGATACACCAGTGGAATTATTGAATTTGGCTCCAAACACACAAAGGAGAAGGATTTCTTAGCCTTCCCCTCCAAGTAACTGGAACCGGTATCATTTTACTTGTGTCTGTGCAAAGAACAGTGTCAAAATTACCTTTGCTAATTTTTCATTAGCAATATGTCTGCTGATAAAGTACAGACAGATCCGACAACTTGTCAGTCTTATCACCAGGTTGAATTGAGGATTAATACAGAAAATATGACCCCAAATACTGCTTTATCAAGCCAACCAATCAATCAATGCCCTATACCATGGCTCATCTCATTTTATACTGCATCCCATATTCCATGCACATGGTAACATGGTTATGAGATTGATAACAGATTTTTATAGTGAACACTGCAGACAAGTTGTCACGATGAACAATCACCCAGATTTACACAGAGTATGTGCTTTGGCACAACAGGGCATTATTATTATTAGATTAGGTTAAATCCATACATAATATCACTTACATGCCAATTACACACTCACACATTCCATGGAGACACAGAAAAAACAGTAAAAGAAATTTACAGTTTATATATATATACATACATACACATATACACACACACTGTAAAAGTGTTTTTTTTTTTTTTCGCTATACTCACAGTCTGTAAACATCTAGACACTTACCCAACAAAACTCTCTGTGGGCCCTTTGAAATTGTGACCATTTGAGGCATGGGGTGCGTAGGACTAAAGGTTCATACTAGAGAAGTGAAAAACCAGAAGTTCATAGTGGTATTTGAGGTGAACCTTTTCAATGACATGATATGCTCATCTGACAGCTTTGAACTTGTGTTTCTTCTGTAGAAAAGGAGAATACAAGGGATTTGTGTAATGCTTATGTTAAAGAGGTGTTCGGAAAGTTCATGGAGATAATGTATTATGAAAAAAAAATCTATGCATAGATTTCAAAAATATTTTGCACCAAAATAAACTTGCTTCTATATCTTTATATTTAAAAAATTATATATATATATATAGTTATATATATATATATATATTTGGGGCCTGGTGTGTTAGTCTAGTGGTCCTCACCTTGCACATGCTGGGATCCCATATGGGCGTCAGTTCATATCCCGGCTGCCACACTTCCCATCCAGCTCCCTGCCTGTAGCCTGGGAAAGCTGTTAACAACAGCTGAAAGCCTTGGGACCCTGCACCCATGCGGGAGACCCGGAAGAAGCTCCTGACTCCTGGCTTTGGATCGGTTTAGCTCCAGTCATTGCAGCCATTTGGGAAGTGAATCAGTGAATTGAAGATCTTTCTCCCTCTTCCTTCTTTGTAAATCTGAGTTTCCAATAAAAAATAATTTTTTCCCCAGTAAATCTCAGCAGGAAAGACATACACACGGCTGTACAGAGAGATGGAAGACATGCTAGTTCACTTGCCAAATATTCTTAGTGACATCTGCTGGGCTGGGGTTGAAGCTGGGAGCAGGGAACTTAATCCAGGTCTCCTATGTGGGCAACAGGAGTCCAATTACTTGATAAATAAAACAGGTGTCTTAACCCATGAGGCGGCAACTTCTCTTTCAATTTCATTTCCATGAGCCTTTTGAAGTGCCACTGAATATGAATATATATGTTACTATCTAGATGAAATCTCAATGAAAATTTCAACATTGTCTAAACATATTTGATTATTTTTTCCTTCTAGTTGTGGCTTTAAATTCCTGTACAGTGATATTAAAATTCTTAGGCATCATTGAATGACACATAAATTTGGGTATATGATACTGATTCTACATAAACTTTCATGCAAAAATTTGGCTGATAAAAATTAACTCAAAGTGTTATTTTTCAACTTAAGAAAGAAATGTTTAACATCTGTAAAGAACTCCTATGAAAAGAAAGGAAAGGTTCTTAAAATTTATTTGACTAGTAGCTATTCAATTGCTGTGTGTGCTTTTCTATGCCTCAGTGCCCATATTTTTGTAGCTTTAGAATTTGTTGAAGAAAAAGTGTTGGCAGAGACATTGCCCTAACTGATCACTTGAACCCTGTTTTGTTGTTTGTTTTGCAAAATTGAATATGAAAATTAGATAAAGAGGTTAGGTTCAGAGACTTGGAGAGACTAAATTAACTCCCTCTGGTTGTTTTTAGCAAATGTTTAGAAACCTTTCTTCTTAAAGAGGTGGATTGTGCGATGGAAAAGGGTTGGAGGAGAGAGTTCTGAAGATCAGGGGTACTGGCGGGATCATGGGAGGGGATTTTCTGCTTGCTGTCTCCTGTCACAGTTAGTTGATACTGTCCTTGTGGCTGCTCCTCTCTGTGTTGTGGTTGTTCTGGTCGTGGTTCTTCCACTGGATGCTTGTGCCGTTCATGGGTACAGAGGTCATCAGGCTTTTGGACTGGTGACAGCAGCAGCAGAGGCACGACTGGGGAAGGGAAGAGATGGTAAATAACAGGAGCTGCCGACTCCTGGCCAGCTGACTCTTCAGGCCCCGGTCCCTTCCATGGAGTGACAGGTGTAGACCTCTTGGAGGATGATCAGCCTGAGCAGTATTGCTGCCATCCCTGCTATCATCTCAGAAGTCAGACTGTACATTTCTGAGATCCCTTGTGTTATTTCAGTTGTGTTCATTAAGTGCAAGGGAAAGGGAAGGCAATGTTGACCTGCAGAAGGACTCTCCTGGGATTAGGGCAGGAATGGGAAGGGTAGGGCTGGAAGGACAGCCTGTGAGGCTTTTGAGAATCCAGGACCTGCTCCTCACAGGAGCCCCAGGTGTGAGTGCTATTTCCCCAGTTTCATGGATGAGGACAGCAAGGCCCTGGGAGGCAAATAAAAGGCAGAACTGGAAGAAGCAGAATCCAGGATTCCCAGGCTGAGATTCTCCCCTTGGTATGCTGCCAAGATGTTTCTGATTTCTAAGAATTTGTGCCTTGAGTCTCGCTTTTCCCCTATTAATTAGGGGAAATTATCAAATTAGCAAGTGACGTTCAGCTTTAAAGCTGTATTAATTGTAACCAGCATGTTGATCATTTTTATGCAGAGTATTTTGTGACTAGTAAACTACTTTAAGGACACTTATACATAAGACAGCCACAAGCTTCCATGTCAAGTTTCATCTATTTATGATTCTTTGCTAATATAGCTTAGACTCTTTTTGAATTGTAAGTTTCATGGGGTTAGTTACTGTGCTCTCTGTGTTCCCAATGCTATTAACTTATATTGAGCACTGTTTCAAAGATTTTACACTCATGCAGTAAGTGCTGTGATCATCCGATTCATAGCAAGGAAACTAAAAAAGCAGGAGGGACGCTGGGCAGGCTGAGGTCAGACAGCAAGGGCAGAGCTGTGATATCAGTCAAGGCTGTTTGCCTTTGACCTCTCTGCTAGTCTGCTTAGTATATACCAAGAGCTAAAGTTAAACATCCTGGGACTAGATCACAGAATCCAGCAATCCATGCTACAGCCATTCTGGAAACAGGAAAAATGACATACTGATAAGATACACTCATAGCTTCTGGAGATCTGGCAGACACAGCTGGAAGGAAGTTTGAAAACAGAAGAAAACTGATGGTAAAGGAAATTATTAGCTCAGCTTTCTAGAACAGGAGGCAATTATTTTCCTTGAGGTGATTATTAATAACTAATTAGCATTTATATAAGAGATAGTTAATAATATCTATAACATATAAATATATGTAATATAAAATAATATATTTGTAATAAATAAGTAGTAAATAAATAGTGCTTAGCAGGTGCTTTCTGAACCATAACATTTATGTTTTGTTGAGACTTTGTTTAAAGTCTAATAAAAGGGGTGAATAGGTTTTATGTACTCTATGTGGCCTGAATGTGACATGTGAGCATCTCTGAAGGGGGGTACTAAACCAGCATGTCACTAAGTCCTTTTAATTATAACCTTAGAAAATGTTGTCAGTGCAGATGCCACTTGTCTGCTATGTTAACAAATCTGAACCTCTTTCAGGGCAACAACAATATGATTTTTACTTTTCTACTGAAAAGGAATAGAGCTGATTAAAGTACTCAGACAGCTGGCATTGGCCATGCCTTTTGGCTTATTAATTACTCATTCAGTTGTCCTTAAAAAAATGATTGCAAAATATTCTTACCTGGAAACAATTTTTAAATTTCTTGCTCACAAAATAAAGAGCTATTGGGTTGATACACGAATTCATGGTTGCCAGGTTAATACCGATGTAATCCATAAGCAGCAAGAAGCTGGAGGAAGAGAGAAAAGTGTAGAAGGATTAGAGCAACATATTCTAAAATCTGCTAGCTGGCATTTATCCTTAGCATAAGCAGTTTTCTTGCCCAGAAGCTATTTCTTATAGGTGGCAGTTGGGATTTGTAAAAAGTGCTTGTTTAAGACAAATATTGCATATTCTCATTTGTGTAAGCTAAAAAACTTGAACTTTGTGGAAGAGAGAATGATGATGATGACAGACTAGTGGAGAAAATTCAGGAAGCAGTTAATAAAACATAGCTGGAAAGGACAAATTTGTCTTGGTGCTGTATAGCACAGATGGATAATCATAGTCCAAATCCTATGTTGTATTTCCAAATAACTGGAAGAGTTCAGAACTTCTCAAGACATAAAAATGGTAAATGTGTGATAAAGTAGAAATGTCAGTTACCCCGATTTGATCACTACACATGTAACACATGTATGGAATCATTGCACTGAACCCTATAAAGATATACAAATACGAACTATACAAATATTTTTGAAAATGGCAGTTGTTGTCATATGTTAGCAGATCACCCATTTGGTTTACTCAAATCCTTATGTACAGAACACTTCTGTGCCCTGGGAGCTCCACATCCTGTGAGCAGCTTCAGGCTCCATCAGCTGGAGAAAAAAGAATCAACTTCACAATTTTTAATTTTGAGTACTACTGAGAATGTAGACAAAATCATTTAGTGATAATGTTATAAAACACAAAGAGCAGAAAAACCCATTTCCTCCTGAGCACATAGACTCATACCTAAGCAGTTCACATCGGTTCTTGTCCATCTCGTCATACACAGTTTTCTTCAGAATACGGCTCAAGTGGAGAGGGAACCAGCAAAGCGCAAAAATAACAACCAAGCAGAAAACTGTCTTGGCCACTTCCCGACGCTAAAGGAAAGAGGGGAAAAATGTACAGTAAGCTCAACAAGCAGCACAATAAGGCGGCAGCAGGTGTCAGGAAAAGTGACTCTGAGAAGAGCTGAGAGAGTGGACCGTCTCACAGGGCATATGCTGCTTCAGGGTTCTGATTCCAGGATGGGTGTACAGGCAAGTGCTTAGCAAGCTGCTCAGGCACAGGCATTCCGTAGCAGAGTTCCTGGTTCCGTGCCTGCCAAGGCCCCTGACTGCAGCCTCCTGCTCAGGCACTCAGAGAGCTGCAACTCTCTGATGGCTCAAGCAGTTTGCTCCTGGATGAATGTGCAAGACCTGGATGGAGCTCCTGTGTCCCACCTTCAGCCTGGCTATCATAGGCATTTCTGGAGTGAAGCAGCAGATCTGTAGTTCTTTCCCTCAAAAGAGTAAATACATAAATAGCATACAAAAATACGTAAAAACAAGCAACAATAACTAAAACCTTGTTGTTTCTCCCTGCATTCATGGTGACATGCCACAATGACAGATTTTTAAAATTTATGTATTTAAAAGGAAGAGTTACAGAGTAGGGTGACAGAGAGAGTGACAGCAAGAGAAAATGAATATTTCATAGCTAGTTCACTTCCCAAATGGCCTCAATGACCAGGAGTGGGTCAGGCCAAAGCCAGGAGATTCATCTGGGTCTCCAACATGGGTGCAGAGGCCCATGCATTTGGGCCATCGTCAGATGCTTCCCAAGGTGCACTGGAAGGAGCAAGATTGAAAATAGAGCAGCTAGGTCTTGAACTGGCACCCACACAAGATGCTAATGGTGAAAGTTGTAGCTTTACTCAATATGGCATGGTGCCAGCTTCTAAAAATTTTTTTTTACAGTTTTCCTGAGTTTGGCTTTCTGATCAAGGAGTTGCTAGTGATGTGTTTGGGCATTTGCCAGGAGGGATACTGGCTTCTGGTTAATGTTGGGAACAGGAGAGAGGTGAGCCCAGTCTGCGGTGGAGTCTGTGTGTGTTTGTAGTGAATGTGTGGTTAGTGTACAGGGGAAGCAGCTCAAAGCAGGCCAGGTGACAGAATGGGGCGTGAACATAATTGCCCAGTGCACAGAAGGTTCGGGGGAACAACAGGAGTAGGTGACAGCACAGGAGCAGGAGAAGGTTTCCTCCTAACCCCATCCTTGGAGAAAACTAGCAGGGAGATTTCTTTTTTCTTTTTAAACTCTTTTTTTTTTGTCATGATATTTCTGTGAAGATATAGTGTCTGCAAACAGAGGGATCAGGGTAAAGGATTATCAGCAGCAATGGTTAGAAAATCTGGAGCATGCTAACCATAGACTGACTGTAATGGAATGTAATGGAAAGTTTATGTGCCTTTGCATCAAATCAGGGTCAGAAAATCCATAGGTTAAAAAACAGTGGTCTGCAGCCACTAATGTGTATATTAGGCTCAAGTGTAATACTGCACACATTTGGAAGCCTGACTAGGACCGTAAAATCCAGCATGTCTGTATCTGGGACCAGTTGATATTCAAATAAAAGTGGCTGAAAACAGAGGTTGGAAAGGTAATGCCGATTCAACCAAAGCACAGAAAGTCAGGAAAGCCAACAATAAACTCACACGCTGAGCAGAACCATTCAAATAGCTTCCATGGCAGTTGTCACAAATTCCCACTTTAACCCAACAAATGGTTCCACTTCTACTACTTCATAGTTAGGGGACTGGTGGGGGTATGGCTGTGGAGTGATGTCAAAGGGAGGAAATAGAGGACTTCAAACTGCAAGGGTGATGGATCTTTTAAAATGGTCTTTCTGTGTCTACAGTGTGCTCAGAGTGACAAAAAGGCTGGATATGGGGAAGAGTTACTTTTCCTGAGTGCACCCTCAGAGAAGACTCTTAAAATTGATTTATTTATTTCAAAGAGTTGGGGGGAGGGCAGAAAAAAGAGAACACAAGTGAGCCAGTGAGCTTACATCCACTGGTTCACTCCCCAAGCTGGGTCAGGCTAATGACATGGGCCATCATGTCTTCCCAGATCCTTTATCACGTAGCTGGGTCAGAAAGCCAAGCAGCTGGGCTTTGCCACAACACTATTACCAAGATATGCCTTTTAAAATAAGTCTTTATCTTTCTTGAAAGTCAGAGTTACAGAGAGAGAGAGAGAGAGAGGAAAGACAGAAAGATTGTCCATCAGCTGGTTCACTCCCCAAAATGGCTGCAATGGCCAGAGCTGAGCTGCTAGGAGGCAGGAACTTTTAGCTCTCCCATGTGGGTACATTGGAAGCCATTCTTCCTGTACCAACATCCCATATCAGAGCACTGGTTCAAGCCCTGGCTGCTCTTCTCCTGAGCTAGCTCCCTGCTGATGTGCCTGGGAAAGAAGCAAAGGTGGCCCCGTCACCCACACATGTCATACAGATGAAATGCCAGGGTGCTGACTTCAGCCTTTCCTGGCTTCAACCACTGCAGTCAGTTTGGGGACTGAATCAGTGGATGGGTAATCTTTCTTCTTCTGCCTTTCTAATAAATAACATCTTTTTTAAAAAGTAATATCAGTATATCACCATGACAATCTGGTATCTGCTGAACCAGCATTCATTCTCTTGCCTTCCTCACCATCCCTCATTCTAATCTTGTTCTATCAGTAGAGGAATGAGGCCTATGCATATCTAATTAATTAGATCAAGTGGTTATTGTATGTGTGTGTGTGATGGGCATTGGAAAAGCTATTTGAAAATGGAGTCACACTCCTTGGCTACATGCACAGTAATATATTCCTACAATCATCCCCTTGCAGCAGCCTCTGCTGTCTTCCAAGGATGAAGGAAAGATGAGAAAAAGAGCAGACATCTGGCCTTTGCATTCATGGACTACTGAACCAATGACATCTGAACTTCTTGCTGTGGGAGGAAGATAAGCCCCTACTCAGGCGCCTCACTGTAATTTGGAGTTTTCTCTAACCAGCATTCAAAGAATCTAACTGATAAAGCTGTTACCATTGTAATGAAGAGAAACTAGAGTAAGACACACGGCAAGACACAAGACAAAGTCAAAGGGTTGCAATGCTACGCTATTCTGCACGAGCTTGCCATGGTCTCAGTGAAGGATGCCCAGCCAGCTTTGCTGGTCTGCGAGTAGGAATGAAACAGCTCTGAAGGTGAGTAGATAGAATGTCTCCTGTGCAAGAACCAGGTCTTCGGTTTTTATCTCCATTTAGCTGAGTAAACCTCTTAGCCAGTTGTAAGATGGAGAATATCTGACCCATCTCATAGGACGCTTGGAGGAATCAAATAAGAAAAAGTCATGGAAATGCTCTTGAAAAATGAAACATGATAGAAATGTAAAGTACGTTAGTATTCCCATGGCTGATTCAGTTATTGTGAGAATAGATATCACATTTGATATGGTGGCAACACAAAACCCAACATGAAAACTTTTTTCCCCCAAAAAAGTCCATTGTAAATGAACTCCCGTGCAGGAGTGAAAGGTAATACATGCTTAATGTATTCGCTTCTTGGAGTATATGGAACATGCTTGCCTGAACAAAGTCAGACCAAGGTTTCTCAATGCATTTTTCTTGCTCAATGTCCATGAAAGATAATAGCTACCATTTGTATGGTATGAGAGACTTTACAGAGTACACACGTGCACATTCATTCCTTTCATGTTCACAGGAATACTGATTCACATATTATTATGCCCAATTTCTAGGTGGGGAACTGAGGCTCAGAAAAAGCAATACAGCACCTGAAAAGAGCTGCTGATGAGGAATGATGCTGGTGTGTGGAAATTATATAAGACAGATAAACAGGCTTCAATAATAACTCACATTAACATGGTATGGTAGACATTTTCATATTCTCCATTGGGATGAGATATGGCCAACACTCTTAATTTTTCTTTTTGAATTAACAGAAATTAACATTTGATGAGTTCCTAGCAGGAGCTGGGAACCATTAGGCACCTCAGATGCCTTAGGTAATCCTCATGGCCATGTCACTACATCTGTTTTATGAAAAAGTAGAAGCTTGGAGATGAGGCGGTTTGACCAAGGTCGCAGAGCCAAGGAGTCCAAGCTTTGCCCTCTAAGTACCAAAGCATTAACCATTTGCTTTCCAGGAGCTACCAACACTAGCCTCCTATTAATCTGCTTACATTTGTTCTAGAACTTGGAACCCATTTCCTATTAAAGGTCTTACTGTAGATGTTGCTTTAATAAGCTTAAATTCCTGTTTCCTACTTCTCACAAAAATGGTGCCCATTTTTTTAGCTAGGTTCTTGTTCTTCCTCACCAAGTCCTGTGGCTCTTTGAAGGCCCAGACCAATCTCCCCTCATTCGTGAATAAAGTTTCCCTGAGATTTTATCTCATAACCTCACTAGCTTTGTATAGCACAGGCTACTTTGAACACCTCCATGACTCCATTTTTAAGTTGTTATTTTACTGTCTGATACAGGCAAGCCTAGTATGGTATTCTGCATTTAAACAAACTAAATCTAGAAAAGGAACTGTACAGGAACAGGCAACTGGAATTTTTCACCCATTAGAATCTTCTGGGTCCACCACTCTCTTATGTAGTGTGCCACTGGACCAGAATATTAGTATCTGGCACAGGACTGTACTTGTATTTCTCAGGTTGTTATTGTCAGGGACAAAACAGCCTTGGCCATATTTTCATGATCTCGGTAGATGTACCTGTTTGAGATGTTCGCTGAGGGCAATCCTCAGGCTGCCATTCCTTCGGTTCAACATCTCACAAGTCATGAGGGTATAGAAGATTGCGGTGCACACCAGTGGCATACAGAAATAGAAGCCAAAGAGCCACCAGTCCTTTACATCTTGGTAGAACTGTGAAGAAGGCAGAGAGGGGACAGAGTAACATAAGTCAATTGTGAAAGGCCTCTGGGAGCTTTAGCAGCTTTACATTGTAGATAGATACATTTGCATTTTCAAGTTCTTGGCTTATCTGCAGGGGTGTGCACAAAATTCACAGGGAACATATATTATGAAAAAACTATGCATCAATTTAAAAATATTTTTGCACCCAAGTCAACTTATAATTCCATTTTCCATAAGCTTTTTGAACTATCCACCTAATTAGTGGGCTTTGGGTATTGCTCAATACTGAATCAGCTTTGAAACTCCATATATGATCCTTGGTTTTTAACAATACCTGAGGAAATTGTATCTAAAAATTATCCCAACAAAAATACCTCTATAAACTGAAGTCGATTTCAATTACACAACGGAAGAGCCTCAGTGAATAACAAGAATTTCTTTATAAAGCCCATAAAGCGTGATTTGAGGCCTGTTTATTGATGAATTTCAAGCTTTTGCTAGTGCCTGCTTCACTTTTGACTGTTGTGGTTGAAGTGTATTTTAAGTGAACGTATTGTTTGGAAATGGTGAAGGTTGTGAATGGCTTATCTGTGTAGCTTTGGTTAATGAGAGTTAACCCTTTGCCTGGCATGCCAGCTATGTGACCTCACACCCAGTCAGTTCCAGCCATCAATAACTGTGCCCTTTTTCCCTCTCTTAATATTTACCACCTGGAAGCCATTGAAGCTGCATACCTTATCTGCAGGCACATTTACGCATATCTCCCAGGGGTAAAGAGGATTTGTAAATACCAAGATTATTCAGTTTTATGTCTCTTAAGAGGAGGGAATTTAATACTCTATAAAAATGGAAGCTGGAAAATAATCTCAATACTTCTTCCCACTAAATTAATCACCAACTTGGGAAGCAATGCTTTTCTTTCCTTACAGATTGTTTATTTACTAAGGATAATGCAGCCTCCCGTAATATCTCAGTTCCCACAGTAAAAAATAATCTTGCCTCTCTGTGAATACTGGAAGCTGGATGGTTTCTGAATATAGAAAAAGGTCCTGTAAGCTACATTTATAACACATCAATTCAAATGATCTAAAAATGGCTCCCAAAGACAAAAACTTCGGTGTTGGGATCCTTAACTGTTTTTATGCCACAGACTCCTTTTGGAAGTGTGGTGAATACTATAATCTCTTTTGAAGACATAAAATAAACCAATTACAGCAAATCACAGCTCTCAAAATATTAAAAATAAAATTCTATAGTAACACATGTGTTTATTAAAATAATAAATACTAAGGTGGTTTCAGTGATCCCCAGAATTTTGGAGTAGTACAGGTGTAAATGACACTTTGACATATGTGTGTAGAAATGTATAGGGCATGAAAATGTGTTATTTCTATTAGTGAAAAGGGGCACTTTTAAATACAATTGTGATTTGTTGCTTATATTCACAATCAAAGGAAATGACAAATTTCAGTTAGAAGTCAGTGAAAATAAACATAATTTTTTTCCCATCCAAGCTCAGATCCTTGCAGTGTATCCTCAGGTTAAGTGCAAACTTCCAAAAGAGTTAGTTTACTCAAATATGCTTATATAAATATTTTCATATCCCCATCACACTGGATGGATTTCAGTCCTGAACTTAAAAGAAAAAGCAGAAAAGCCTATTAAAAAATGCTTTTTTGAAGTACAACACAAACACTCCTTTGTGTATTCCCACCCCTTCTTTTGTAGCTCCTTCCCAGGCATGGCTGGCTGGGTGTGAATGACCCAGAGACAGCTGCAGAAGGGCTGTGATGGAGTCCACTTGGCCCTTCCATGGGAGAGACTCCGGAGAGAGGGGTCATCAGCGAAGATGTGGGAGTGCCTTAGATCCGTCTAGGGAAGGGCACGTAAAGGAGGGAAAAAGAGGGGAAATAAAGTTAAGGGAAAAATGGGACTTCCATCTTGAAATGAACTCTAAGATACTATTCCTTCCATTCATACCTCTCTTCTGTGACCCTACACACCTGTGTAAACAGTAGTCATTGCTGCGTGACTACAGCAATACAGGAGAGCCAGTCTTTAGGAAGGAAGTCATCGCATTCTGTTTTGCTCTGAGAGTTAGTAATAGCCTCCTTCTCTGATGAATTGTCTGCAATATCTGGATTGCTTATTTACATAGTCTAGGTTCTGATAACCTCCTGTTGTCTTCTTTGTTTTTCACTGTGGAGACTGACCTTATTACAAAGTCAGTTGATAAGAGAAGACCTTGATTGTAAGGGTGCCAGCTTGGCAGTATTCCTGGGTATTTTTAATCGTAACATCAGAGTTTCCTAGCAGAGTAATGGGTTAACTTGAAAACCACTAAGTTTTTGAATTTTCCAAGTTAAGAAAATGTACCTGAAACGATCTGTGAATGATTATGTGTGGAATCTGAGCTGCATGAAACTCACATCAAAGCACCCAATTATGCTGATTTAAGAGAAATAGTTATCCTTTTGGTTTTCATGCACAGTCCACATGTAACTAGTTTAGCAAAGGAAATATGCATTTTCATCATGTTTCCTAATACAGTCAATCATGTGATTACATTTTTCAGAGAAACTTTAATGTGGTCAGATGTACTAAAGAATAACTGAATTTGTTAAGCTACAGCACCTTCTAAAAATTTTGGCAGTTTTAAGTATTGTATTTATGTTTATATTAATTGTGTATTGAGTATAGAATCCATGCTGTTATGTTAATACTACTTGCTACTTTGAATTAGTAAACACATCTTTAAAACTATGAGTGAGCAATGCATAGTTTCTCTGTGTAACACAGAACATCCACCTGTCTGTCAAGTGGAACTTATGTTCCACTTTGTAACACAGGAAAAATGTAGTATAGATGCAAACACTGTTAGCTACATCCATGAGAGCACTTCAAAAGGTTCATGAAAAACAGAATTCAATGGTAGGTTTATGTTGGTGAGAAATAAATTAAATCCACATAGTGCAAACTAAATGAAGTCCATACAAATTCAGGTTCTCTAAAAAGTTCATGGAAATGTGTTTCATGAAAAAAACAATCATATATTTAAGGTTTTTGGCACCAACATAGATTCTATGAAAAGATTTATTTATTTAATCTGAAAGAGATACAGAGAAGGAGAGAAAGAAAGCAAGAGATGGTAAGAGAGAGTGCTTCTACCACTGGTGAACTCCCCAGATGGTAGCAATGGCCAGGGCTAGGCTAGGCAGAAGCAAGGAGTGAAGAGTTTCATCTGGGTCTCCTGCTTGGGTGGCAGCAGCCCAGGCACTAGAGTCATCTGTTGCTTTTCCCAAGTGCATTAGAGGGAGTTGGACTGGAAGAGGAGTGGCCTGGATATGAACCAGCATTCATAGCAGAAGCTGGCATTGGAGGTGCTAGCTTCATTTGCTGTGTCACAGCATTAGCCCCTAAATTTATCATTCCATTTTCTCAGAGACTTTTTGAAGTCATCTTGTACCTCCAGTCCTGCTTTCTCTCAGTTTCAGAATTCTTAGTTCGGTGTAGCACAAGAGTTGTGTCTACTGCCATGCAACAAACAAGAGTGGCAAGATAAAGACTGATCTACCACTTACATTGCATGCAGTTCAAGGACATTGGACTGAACTGACAGAGTGAAGCATATCTTGCCTTGAGAGGATGCAACAAGTCTTCTGATGGTGAAGCAGACATTCTATCCTGTAGTAACTTTTAAACAGTGCATTTTACACATTTTACAAACCATTAGTACCTCCATGAATTTTGAGGTGGCATTTAGCATACAGGTTTTGTGCTGTTCACCCCTGTATTCAAAGGGCACCATGACAAAGCCAATGGTTTCAGGGATGGCCAGAATAAAGGAAAGGATCCAGATGGACACAATTTCAATGGCTGTAATCAAGGGAATCCCAATGCCTTGAACACGACTCCAGGAGGCAACTGCTCTGTACCTGGAAGGAAACAAAGAAAAATCGGGTGATAAAATCAAGTTGTTAAATTTTTTTTAGATTTATTTCCATTATAACAAAGATTACAAATGCTGGAAAGTTCTCCCCCATGTTCATCAAGCCACCATTGGCTTTTAGGAATTTTTTGGGTTCTAATGTGAAAAACAAGTGGAATCTTTTATATCTCCTTACATTTAGAAAACAGCTGCCTAGCAGGTCTGAGCGTGATACACTCGCTGATGTGAGATACTGCTGAGTCTCAAGAGAGTTCTGGGCCCAGAACCAAGGAATAGGGATGCCTCTTGCTTTTACCCTGAGGGAAAACTCGACCGTGGAAACAGTAGTGGGAGTTGCTGGTACTTGTTATACTAACCTGTCTTCTTTTTATATACTTATAAAAGAAAGCATGCAGGATTATAAAGTGTGTCTTCATATCCTTAGCGAGTAGTTAGCATAGATTTCTAACATATGCTTCTGTCTTCAACATATGATCATGAGCAGTGGGTATTTGGCCTAGTGGAGAGATGCCTGTGTCTTCACTGGAGTGCCTGGATTAATTCCTGGTTCTGGATCCAACATTTTGCTAATGCAGACCCTAGAAAGCAGCAGAGATGGCTTAAAGGTGACTGCATTCCTGCTTCCCCTGCAGGAGACCTGGCTTTAGGCTTCAGGGATGAGGTAGGGGACATTTCAGTCATTTGGGGAGCAACCCAGTATATGGGAGATCTCTATATCTCCTTTTCTCACATACAGAAGTAAGTAAGTAAGTAAATAATATGATCACAGTGGGATAGTCTCAAGTGCAGTTTTAGTGAATAATATTTTTGATAAATGTCAAAGAATGACTAAGTCTCTTGAATTTCAGTCCTGAGCTAGGGTATGTAAAACTGAGTTAAAGACACCTTGGTTCCTAATCTTTAGGGTTGAAGTTTAAGAGAAAAAAAAAATGGTTCCTACTGGTAGAGATTATCAATGTAATTAAACTTGATAGTAATCAAGGAACTATACGGTTTTAAGAATTTATGCTTACTTTATTGTTTAGTATTTTTACAATAATAGTTTTAAGCATTAGGTGTAAGAAAGGTTTAGTTTAAAAACCATGCTCTTTGACCTGATGTGATGGTCTAATGCTAACTCATTCCAGATGTATTATTAAGAAAAGATTTGTGACATGGCATGGTAGTTTTGTGGTTTCATTCCTGAAATATTTGTTGCTGGTGTAATGGAAAGGAAACATTTTCTTTTCCTAGTTTTTGTTAGTTCTGGAAGAAGGCAGTAAGATCATGGCACTGGAGACAGGTGCACAAGGGTGCACAGGCCATGTAACTTAATGCAGAGGATTTAATCAACAAAGGCCTGGCAAAACATAAGCTACCTACGAGCCCCAGGGTGAGCCTGCATCACTCATACTGAGTGTACTGTCAGTATGTGTACATGGTACATTTGTGAAAACACAATTGTAGGAATTATACTGCCTCATTTTTCAGTAGAATTGCTTATAGATTAGAACCTATAGCTTTGGGTGCGTTACACTGATGCCACATGGTCAATAAACAGCTGAATTTGCTAGAAAAATGTTTTGGAAAAGTTTTTTTTTTATGACCAAGAAGATTGATATACCAGAAAAACTTCTAGGAAAAGTCATGACTAATTCAGAATAGAACAAAAAATGGCTGTGCAAACAGAACAAGACAATCCTTTTACGACACTGCCGAGATTGCCTTTTAAAATTTATGGTTATTCCAGTGGGATCAAGATTGCTGTTTGTTTGGCTTTCCATCTCTGTTTATGTTTCTTTGTTGCATTAACAGACTGATGCTCAGTAAAAGCTAAAAGGAATGGGGGCAAGAAGTCTATATGCCAGAGCTTTCAAGTGAGCATTAATTTTTTCTTCTTGTGTCTAAACTTAGTTAAATAAGACACCATATCTCATCACAGGGAAAGTCAGATTTCCTAACCAAGATTTGAGATGGAAAGTGGTTTAGGAAAGAAAATGTGGTCAACATATTTTAAAAATTATTTTTATTTGTAAAGCAGATATACAGAGAAAAGTGACAGCAAGAGAGATCCTTCGTCTGTTGGTTTACTCCTCATGACTGAAATGGCCAGAACTGAGCTGGTTTGAAGTGAGGAGCCAAGAGATTTTTCTGGATTTCCCACCTGAATTCAGTGGCCCAAGGACTTGGGGAAATCCTCCATAGTTTTCCTAGGCCATAAGCTGGGAGCTGGATGGGAAGTGGAGCAGCTGTGACATGAACAGGTGCCCATATGGGAGTCCGATGCCAAAGAGGAAGGATTAGCCTGCTTAGCTACTGTGCTGGCCTCCCAACATATTATAAATGAATAGATAAGGAAGCTTCAGAAAGTTTATGGGACATAGAATTACAAGGTAAGTTTCTAATAGGAAATTTTTGAAGACTCCTCATATTCACCAACCTATTTCATTTTATGATGTGTCATGACTTCTCAGGATATTACATATCCATGATCCAATAGAATTTAAACATTTTTAATAAGTAAAAGTGGGGCTGGCATGATGGCTCAGCAGCTGAATCCTCACCTTGCACATGTTGCGATCCTATTTAAGTGCCAGTTTCTGTTCCAGATGCTTCACTTCTCGTCTAGTTCCCTGATTGTGGCCTGGGAAAGCAGTAGAGGATGGCCCAAAGCCTTGGGACCTGTACCTGCTTGGGAGACCCGAAGGAGGCTCCTGCCTACTGGCTTGGGATCAGCTCAGCTCTGGCCATTGCAGCCACTTGGGGAGTGAACCAGCAGACAGAAGATCTCCTTCTCTCTGTAAATCTGCCTTTCTAATAAAAAATAACTCTTTAAAAAATAAGTAGAAGTAATTCTTAGAGTATAGTTTTGCAAATGATTCAGTCATATCCTTCATGAATTCACTTAAGGGAGACTTAGGTTATTTTCCATTGCTAACTACACTGATCCTGCTAACATCTCCAGGAGATAAGGAAAACAAAACAAAACAACAACAACAACAAAAAACAACAAGACAGTTGAAGTCAATCAAGATTAATATTTGTGATTGTGGAGGTGGGGAAAGGTGTAAAAAATATGAAGTCTCAGATGTCCCCAAAGTGATTTCTATTTGAGATATGACACAAGACACATACACACAAACATGCCCTTCTTGCCAGGTGTGATACTTTGTTTATAACTTCGTTTATAAGCTTTGAATCAGTAGCTACGACATTTTCACTTGTCACAAAAAATTTGCAGGTACAGATCCAACAGCACCTCTTCCAGAAACAATGCCCCTGTTCTGCATTACTTTGTTCACATGGCTTACACTGTGTTCTTTTGGTTTCCCTCCTGGCTTATTGGCCAAGCCTCCTTTCCATGGCAGTACCCAACCCTCTCCCCACATTCTTACAACTGGATTTCTCTTACAATATAATCCTGCAACTCTCTTTTTAAATCTGTATGCTCACTCTCCATGATCTCATCCAATCCATGGCTACATTGTTATTTAAACCCTTGGCATACTGCAAATTCCCAAATGTGTAACTCACTTTGGAATTTCACCTCCAGTTCTAGACTCATGGGTCCAGCTGCTCACTAGGACCTCCAGTGGGCTTCCCTGCATTTCAAGACATGTCCTTTCTCTACTCTTTGCCATGCTAGGCCCAAACCACAGGGTTGGCCTTTATTGCCCCTGCGTCCTATCCTTTAGCAAGTCTCATGTCTTCCCTTGAGATATGGTTGAATGCCTCTACTCCTCACCATCTCACTGTTCAATGTTCTGCCTTAACTGGTTTCCCTGTGTCTACTTTGCCTTGCCATATTCTACAGCAGCCAAGATGAGCCTTTCAGTCTGATCATGGCACCCTTGCCTCAAACCCTCCGATGCTTTTCCATCTATATGGGAACACCCCACGATCCTCAGAGCTGCTTTTTTATTTCCTTCGGTTTTTACTCAGTTATGTCTTTTCATGGAGACCCTTACATATTCATTTACATTGTCCTTTGAAGGAAAGAAAGGAAGAGTAATCTTCTGTCCCTTGGTTCACTCCCTCAAATGCCTGTCACAGTTCAGGGATGGGCCAGGCGCTGGGAACTTAATCTGGGTCTCCCTTGTAAGAGGCAAGGATCCAAGTAGTTGAGCCATCATCTGCCGCCTCCTAGGATGCACATCAGCAGGAAGCAGGAAGCAGGAATTGAGCCAGGACCTGAAGCCATGCACTCATGGGATGAGACGTGGGTGTCACAAAGGATGTCATAACTACTGTACCAAACACCTGCCCCGGCATATAACTCTTCTCCCAGAATGTTCCTGTTCGCAGTTTTCTTTTTCCCATAACATTTGCTACCATGTGACAAACTGAATGTTTTGCCTATTTATATTGTTATTTTCTATGTACTTTCTCCCCTTAAGAACATAACTTCCCCAGAGCAGGCACTTTGTAGGGTGGTCAGCATGTTTAGAACAAAAGATGCTGAACGGACCGTATTATGGTCTGAATATTCCCCCATTTTTCAGGCTAGCCCTGAGTTAGGCAACAGATGAAAAGTTGCTACTTTTAGAAACTCAGAGTCAGATATTATAAAAACAAGGGGCGACCTCTGGGGTGATGATCGTCTCCGTGGTGTTCTGGCTGGGAACCTGAGGACTGGGAGCCCAGAGACTGGCAAGCTGCCAAGGCTTCTGCCTGGGCTCCAGTGTTCACTGGGAGGCAGGGTCAGGCCTTTGGGTTGCCAACTCCCAGTAGTCTTTTCCCATTACATCACTTTATATCTGGTCATGTGATATGACAAAATAAAAGTATGAATTTTATGTTTTATTTATGTAAAAGATACTTGTTACTCTCAGTGTTTATAAATGGATGTTCACATGTTTTCAAGACCAGAGGTATTCAATGAATGCTTATTAATACTTTAAGATTTGATCTGGAACAGTCATTACTTTAAGATACTTTAGGACTGAAAGACCTTTAAAATATTATAAGCTAGAATAAACTGAAAGGCATTACTTCAACAGAGTCTAT